CAACAAAATAGAAAAAATGATAACGGCCAGCAGCTGACAGCACCTAAATTCAATCAATAAAAATTATGATTATATTCAAATAGAATAATATATTTGTTCTTACCAATTGATAAAGATTTTCCCAATAATCTTGTGTCATTAATCGAAAACAAGAAAGCATAGCCCAACCATAACTATCAAAACTATGGAAAAAAAACCCAAAAATTCCTTTCATTCTATAATTAATTATTAAATCTATACCTTGTATAACCAAAATCCGGACTAAAACGAAACGATAGATTTTTTTTGTTTGATGAAGAATTAAAATTTCAACTTACTTTATTCCAAGATCTTTCCAACAAATATAACCATGTGGACATTTTCGACTTCCACTAGCATTTCCACAAACAACATGTATATCATCTTCTTGATACCAATAGACTATACAAATAAATCCAAATAATGAAATTCTTTCTATTTTTGTTAATAAAACATACTTTCATTATGAATTTCTTTTACATAAGAATCATAAGACATATTAAAACCAACTGAAAAATTTGAACCATTGATAAATGATTCATAAGTTGGTACACATTTTTGTCGTAAAACACCCATATAAAGCTGTAAACCTACCTAATAAAAATATTTCAAAATTCTTTAATTAGAATAATAAATAAATTTTGTAAATTATCAAACCAAAGCAAAAATTGATAGAATAAAACTTGATAAAACAGTAACATCTCGTAAACAAATAAGAGATTGAATTAATGCATCGACAATCGTTTTCAAACCTATAAATTTAAAAATTGATTATTGAAAAATATATAATTAACCCTTTCCGGCCGACAATTCCAGAAAAAATACCGTACTCCCCTACGGCAAAATATTACCATTTAGTAATATCCGGCCGGAAAGGTTTAAGATTCAATGATATAATATACCTGGAACAACAGCTACTGTTTTTAATGCTCTTAGTACTCGAAATGTTCGAAGGACAGAGACATTTCCCAAATTGACAAAGAATGTTATATATCTAATTAATAAATTAATAGATCATTTTTCTTTTCTTCTCTAATTTGTCTACATACGCTAGTGTAATAACAATAAAATCTAACCAATTCCATGGATCACGTAGAAATGTAAATTTTTCCAGAATAAATCCACGTGCAACACATTTTGTTAATGCTTCAAGTGTATAAATTACTGTAAAGATATATCTATTGATTCAAATAAACATAGATACATATACATTTTATAAAATATTAGGGAATATTTACTCATATGTTTCAGGTACATTTTTAAGTGTCATAAATATACAATTAGCCAAAATAGTAAGCATAACAAATGTACTAAAAAGTGAATGAGTTAATATACGAATTGCTAAATGACGAAAACAATTGTATGGAGAAAATATAAAACAAGCTGATGTCGAACTAAATCGGAAGATTGTTTTATTTCTGTTAACAACCACAAATACCTAAAAGATGAAGAAGAAGAAGATTCAAGATTTTTATATTAGTAAATTTTTTTGAATAGTATACATATTGAGTTCGATAATACCGATCGATTTCTTCTATTGGTTTACCAATAAGTTCAGCTGGAAATTTTGTTTGTAATGCTCTTGGTAATGTTTGTCCAACAGCTAATTCTTTATTAGGTTTTCGTTTTAAATTAGGTTGTTCATAATTTGATGATTTTCTCATCGAACTATATAATAAATCACTATCGTCTTGACGTATTGTTTGTCGTTGTAATCGATCGGAAGCAAGGCGTTCAGCTTCCTCTTGTCGATAACGTTCAATACGATGTAATGATTCGGGTGTAAACTCGCGAAAAACAATCGAGCTGTAGTCCATCCTTATCGTCGACACTTACCGTCTGTTCATACATAGTTTTTTAACAAGAATAAACAACAGCAACAACAACGATAAATCAAATAATTAACTCCACAAAATACATTATTAACTAAAATAGTTAAAAAGGAAAAATGATTAAGCACATAAAGAGTAATTTTTTTACAATTGAAATGATAAATCATACAATAACCATTAAGTAGGCCCTTCTCTGTGTAACAGATGTTCACGATTGAGGGGTATACGAACAAGAAGAAGAAGAAGTAGACGAATTAAAGCGAAGTATGCAGTTTTTTATTATTATTTAGTCTATTAACTTATAGAAAAGTTTCATTCAATATTTTTTTTATGTATCTTCTTCACACATTGATCAATCAGGAGCTAATTCTATGTAAAGAGACGGTTGAATAGAATACGATAGTTGCGCGTCAACGACTTAAATAGATTGATTTAGGAAAGCATAGTGAACATCACGAAGCAATAAAACGACTTCTTCATCTATCTTTTATCTAATCTTAGACTCTTTTCTCTCTCTCTCTCCTTCTCATCATCTTTTTCGTTCCATCTTAGATCTTCTTCTTCTTTTTTTTTTGAACAATTGTCACATTTATAACATAGCAAAGCACAAGCAAAAAAGAATAAGAAAAGAAGAAAAAAAATACAAAGACATCGGGGAATAGAATTTTTTGTTATGATTACTAAAGCATTTGCAATCCGATGCTAGAATAATATCAATCTTTTTTTTTTATCAATCACTAATCGTCATTGAGCAGTCGGTTCTAAAGATGTATCGACTAACTATTGAACATGTCGTGTTAACTTAATATTGATGTTCGTTCCGTTTGTCCTGTTTAACTAAATATAAGGTCAACGTCAATGAGAGTTTTCTATGATACTATTATTTCATCATCTTATTTGTTTTTTTTTTTCAGCTGAAAAAAAGAAGAAGAACAAGAGAGTGACGAAGAACTAGTGACGAGAGAGAGAGAGAGAGAGAGAGAGAGTAACAATCGAACAGTCACGCATATGGATCCGAATGATAGTGATGACGAACAAGAGAGCAGTATAACGTTCCTAAATCCGATTTCTTCGTTCATTAGCATATCTAATAAAATGTTTTGAATAATAGGCCTACCACAAGAAAAAGAGTAGCGATGCGTTTCTTCGTTCAAAATCAAGTTCATATCATTCACATCTTAGCTGTCAATCAATGCGAAAAAGATAACAAAATCTAATGGAAGATTTTTTTT